AGTGGTACCCATGCTTTTACTCTTGCTTTGTTCTCTTCCCAGGCTGTTCTTTATCAAGGAGAGCATACTCTGGAAGGATTTTCTGACTTCCTGGAAAGCCAAGTCAAGGTTCAGATTGAGGATGAGGTACGGGGAAAACAGCAATTTTCTCCCACTCTCAAAATTATTAAGAACTCCACAGGGGAAAAAAAGTGTGTCCAGAATTCCATGCTCTTGTGTTCTCTGGAGATGGCTGAGACAACCCCTACCCTCCCCCAGTTTAAGGGAACTTTCTGGGCTTCCTTTCAAGGGTGTTGATGGCGTGGGAGTGGCAATGGGAGGCTTTAGAAATGCTAGGAAGAATGAAACCTTCGAGGTAACGAAACTCCCAAGGCTGCTACCCAGAGTCCACTTTCCAGAAACGGTAAACAAACCAGGTTCCTGGATGGGGTTTCCACCTTCTGCCTTTATTCTCCAGGAACCACAAGGTCTTTGTCCCCTCTGGGTGTCTCATGAGACCATCTTCTGGAAGGTTCCATTTGTATGGATTCTCTTTCGATTGTAAAGGTCAAAGACACTATTCCACTGTTTCAGCAACGACGGAAATTCATTCCATGTAGCTGGTAGAATGTCTGGCATGTATACTCCCTGGAGGCCCAAGATGACCCTACAGCTCCAAACTACGACTTAGCATTTGCAGAAAATATCCTGGACAAGGATCTCAGTAGCTGAGCCTGTAGATGGGGATTTAACAGACACTCTTGTGGACTTAGAATAGAAGAATGGTCCCAGAGCAGTGTCATAGTTAGGCACTATTGTACCACCTTGCTTCAACTATGAAGACCGTCTCTCTAGACACATCTAGAAAAAGAGCCTGACAGTGCACAATTAGGACACCTAATTATGTGATATGTTTCCCCTCTTGCTCTCTCTTCCCTTTACCCTTTTCCTTAATAGCTATTACCCTTTGAACAAAATGAAGAGCTGGAAGAGGAGGTTATAGTGGAGGACCAAGAGGAGGAAGAGTTACCTGAGCAGACGTTGCCTGAGCAGAAAGTCCCTGAGCTGAAGAACATGACCAAGCTGGAAATATCAGCAGGACAACAGAAAACAGCTAAGGAGGAGAAGGAGGAGGTAGCTAAGCCAAAGGGACCTCCAAGACAGGAGAAGAAACCGAAAGTCAAGGAAGAACTTTAGCTTCTTCAAAGCCAGGAGAGAAGGGGGCCCATCTCCTAGGCCCTTTCATTCCCTGCATGGATTTATTCCAATAATACTATATATTGTTGTGGTGGGGCGAGTGGGGGTAGGCTAATAAACCCCGTGAATGTCTCCTGCCTTGTTTTCCTCCCATGAGCTCCTTTTCCTGCTTGGTGTTGCCTTAGGAGAGCTGTTTGGCCTGGAATTCAGCCAAGGCTGCTGTGGAGGTCATGATGGCGACCTTGAAAGAGTGTTTACTCTCTGTAGGGTCTTCCTCTAGTTCTGTAACATGACTGGTGGCTGCATTTTGGTTTTTATTTTGCTTTGTTTTTGTTCCCATGTACGGGTAGGAAAATCAAGGTACAGTGATCACCTAGCTGGGGCTGTTGAGCTACATCCTTTGCAGTCTTGGCTTGAGGGACTGTGAGCATCATGTACTGTCTCCTTCTACGTTGTGGGGACCCAGGTTTGGCTAAACCTTTCAAATCAGGTTGAATGGATTGGCTTATGCTGCATATTGGCATAGAAAGACATCCATCCCCAAAGCTGTCCCCAGCATGCTACATTGCAGTAAGTCAATGAAGACACGTGGCCAAAGTGATCTCCCAGGACTGAGCCACAAGCCAAGGTGGTCACGTGCACGTGTCTTCATTGCCACCTCTCAAGCTCCTCACCTTCGCCACACCTGCACAGTCCTTTTTGTTCTATAAGGTACTGGTCATGGGTTCCAGGGACTAGGCATAGGGGATAGGCATACTTGGGGGGGTCCCTTATGGTTACACTACTGATTTATCAGCTGTGTTTCAAGCAGGTGCTACTGGGACTTGGGACAAAGGGCTTTTAAATAATTTTTTTGGACTATTCCCTGTGCCACACATCACATAAGGCCAACATTGTGCTTGCTCAGATGTCTAGTTCCCCCACCCTGCCTTCCCTGGGGCCCTGGAACTCACGGGAGCTCAATGGCTCAGCAAGGGGCCAGGAGTTAGTATTCAAGACACGTGTGCAAGGCTCACCTGCTTCCACCTCAAGGTGGGAGGTAGGGTTGGCGGAGGGGGGGTGCTGAGAATCACATGGAACAAAACCATCGTCCAGGGAACAGCTAGGCCTCCTACAAAATCTCCAGGGGAAGGGGCGTGAGTGGGGAAGGGAGCCCCGGGAGACAGGCCGAGTGATAGCCCTCGACAGGGAGGGTCTTCTGCAACTTTCCAACAAATCTGATTTCCCTCCAATAACCCCATCCCTTAGTTCTATCCCCACCCTCCCCACTTCCCCCCAAAACCTTGGAATGCTCTATACCTCAAGTACATTGGAGGGGCAAATCTGAGCAAGACTTGGGTCTTCAATCTGGAGTTAGCCCTAGTGGAGCAGTGTGTGATCTTGAGGAAGTTCCTCAACCTCTCTGAACTTGTCTTCTCCCTTGTTGCCATGGTTTCCCTGTTTTGACACAGTGGAGGTGGAAACGCAGATGTATGTGAAAGCTCTCCTGTCAAGTCTCCTGCCTTTGTTAGGAGTGAAGACAGAAGGTCTTTTCAAGTGACTGAGTGTCCTTTAAAAAAAAAAAAGGACCAAAAAAACCAAATATTGATTGGGCACTGCCATGAAGCTAATAAGGAAAGTCTCAAAATGTCTTTGGGAACAGGAGCGCCTTTGAAAGTCATGATGAACAGCTCCAGCCAGCCTGGCTATTCTAAAGGCATGCCCAGCACAGAGATTTCCCCCACCCCACTGCCCTTCACCCCAAGAAATTTGGTTCTGAAATGATGAGGAGGAATGTTGACATTGGGTTCATGGTTATTTTTGCTGCTCAGTCTAAATTCACATGCACTTTTTTTGTGTGTGTGTGTGTGGGGGGGTCAGTCGCAGGGCTTAAACTTGGGCCTGGGCACTGTCCCTCAGCTCTTTAGCTCAAGGCGCGCGCTCTACCACTTGAGCCACAGTGCCATTTCGAGTTTTCTGAATGGTTTATTGGAGATAAGAGTCCCATGGACTTTTCCTGCCTGGGCTGGCTTTGAACCGTGATCCTCAGATCTCAGCCTCCTGAGTAGCTAAGATGACAGGCGTGAGCCACCAGCGCCTGGCTACACACATTTTCCCCCACAACATGGCTTCGAACTTGGCCCCTGGCATTTCCTTGCCTCGATGTGACTGGACAGCAACCAAGCAGCGTTTGCAAAATTCCTCCGAATAAAATCGCCCCCGAGTGTGTGTCTTTTCTCCCATCTTCTCTGTTGAACGGTCACAGCCTCTCAGGGAGAGGAGCAATTTTGTTTTGCAGTTGAGGAAGATGGCATCGGGAAGGTGAAGAGAGGAGTCTACTAGGCACAATATGTCAGGGCCAGGATTAGATTTGCCCACGGCCAAGCCAGATGATTCGATCACAGAGTCATTCAACCCTCTAAGGGTCTTGAGCCTAGTAAACCTCAGATGGGTTTGGCTGAGTAGATTGAATTCCCCATGTCTGCATGCTTGGCCTCTGGCCCTGCTCAGTTCCCCTCTAGCTTGTGTCTGGGGATAGAAAGAAGGAGGCACTCCCATGGTGAGGACAGGGTTGCTTCAAAAGGGGCTGGGAAGGTGGCTCAGTGGTAGAGTGCTTGCCTTGCATGCATGAGGCCCTGGGTTCGATTCCTCAGCACCACATAAGCAGAAAAAGCTGGAAGTGGCGCTTTGGCTCAAGTGGTAGGGCACTAGCCTTGAGCTGAAGAGCTGAGGGACAGTGCTCAGGCCCAGAGTTCAGGCCCCATGACTGACAAAAAAAAAAAAAGGGTACTCTCCAAGATAGATGACCCTCCCCCCAGGGTCAACAGGCACCTCCTTTTTGTTTTACTGCAGCCTACCTATAGATACTAGCTGCTACCTGGCCCCATGGGCCCACCTCATCCTCCTCAGTGACGAAGAAAAAGACCCAGCATCTTGGCACCACTTTGCCAGTTAATGCCTAACTAAGGAATCTCTTGCTGCCCAAGAGTGCAAAACAGAGACCTTGCATTTCCGGGCACAGGTGTGACCCACAATATCAATGATTTGGTGTCTCTCTTGGTGGTGGCAGAGGGAGAGGGGGTGGTGTAGGGGAAGGAGCAACAAATTCACAGCTTGGAAAAGGCAAACATGTATTATGCAGAAAAAAAAAGTAAAAGAAAATATCTGCCCGCCCCCCTCTAAGGAAACAATCTCAAGACACAGGAAATAATTGGGGGTGAGATTGGCAGCCAGGGGCTCGTGTACGTGTATTTATAAGAGGCACGTACTTGGGAGGGAAGCAGTCCTCCGTTCTGGTTTCAGGTAAAGGCTATCCTGGGGTGGTTTTCCCTATTCCTCCTTCTCTGTCTAGTCTTCCGCTGGCTCCCGATCTACCAGAGGGAGGTGGGAGAGGAAGTTAGGTGTTTGCACGCTGGAGTCAGAGTTGCCCATGAGTCACTACTCTGGTCTGATGATTCTTGGCTTCACGATTCTTGGCAAGCCAGCTTCCTAGTCATGGATCCCAAGCTTTCCTAATAATAGCTACAGTATCCTCATGCATCCAATCACTTTCCATCATCTACTGTGTCCAAGGCTATCTCCAGGAAGATACTTCTCTATCTTCCTACTTCCTGTTCCCAAAGGAGAGACTTGGCAGAATATGCTGTGTCCTGAGATGTGGAGAGTCATGGGTGGGAATAACTGTTGCCTAGGAGAGAGAAGCCCACCACCTGCAGAGCCTCAGTATTGCATGGGTTTTGCACCCCAGCTGTACTGCCATGGGGGCAGTGTGCAACCCCAACCATCCTTCCCCATGGGGAGGAGAATTAGAGCATGCATCTTCCCCTCCCCATTTCTGTTCTCAGGACTTTGGGATCCCAACACAGCAGGGAGGGAATCACACTTGTCTTGGAGCAGGTATTCACAGAAGAGCAGGAGAGCAGAAAGGATGGGGCGGCTGCTGCTCTCCCTGCCCTGGATGCTGTTGGTAATGGCAATGACCTCGTGGTTCATCGTAGTGGCAGCCAATGACTCCTCTTTGGAAGCTAGTAAGTGTGATGCTTGTGTATATGTGTGCCAGGAACAATGGCCCTTTGTAGGGAAAGTCTTAACTCTTTTTCTATTACACTTAGGATTTACAAAGTGTTTATTCTAAGCCTTTTTTTTTTTGGAAGTCCTGGGGCTTGAACTCAGGGCCCAGAAGCTGTCCCTGAGCTGATTTTCTCAAGGTTACTGCTCTACCATTCAAGCCACAGCTCTACTTCTGGCTTTTTGGTAGTTAACTGGAGATAAAAGTCTCATAGACTTTTTCTGCCTGGGCTGGCTTTGAACTGCAATCCTCAGATCACAGCCCTTTGAGTAGCTAGGATTACAGGCATAAACTAGCTGTGTGGGCAAACAAAAAGGTGGCCTTGGGGAAGTTTTCAGAGAGCAGGTGACACCATGCATGTACTGATGAAGGCTCAACCAGGCAGGGGAAGGGACTTGGACACAGAAACCACAAAATAGACAAAGGTGGCTGAGAGTGTGGCTCAGTGGTAGAGCGCTTGCCTAGCATGCATGAAGCCCTGGGTTCGATTCCTCAGTACCACATACACAGAAAAAAGCTGGAAGTGGCACTGTGGTTCAAGTGGCAGAATGCTAGCCTTGAGCAAAAGCAGCTCAGGGACAGTGCCCAGGTCCTGAGTTCAAGCCCCTGGACTGGCACACACACACACACACACACACACACACACACACACACACACACACACACACACACACACACACACAGGCTGGGAAGGGGGGTCACAGGTTCACCATAAATCCTAACAAAGAATCAAGAATCTGGGAATTATTCTTCTGGATGGGAGAATATTGATTTTAAAAAAACAACCACCAAAGAAGATAAAACTTAAAGGCAATGCTTACCATGGAATACATGTCGGAAGCGTGGCCTTCGGCAGGTGCGGGTCAGGGCCTTGGTTGGCTTGTGCTGGATGGAATGGACTACAGAGCTGAGTCTTAGATCCCTCCCTCAGGGAAGTGGGGGGATTTTGCGAAGCTATTGGCCCCTGACTGCCCGTGTTCTGGGTTGGGCTGGCTTGTCTGCAGGAAGATGCTCAGAATGTCACAGCAATGCCACCTGCATGATGGATGGGGTGGTCACCACGTGCTCCTGCCAGGAGGGCTTCACCGGCGACGGGCTGGTGTGTGAGGATGTAGACGAGTGTGCCATTCCCGAGGAGTACAACTGCTCGGCCAACACCAGCTGCGTGAACACACTGGGCTCCTACGAGTGCGTCTGTCCCGATGGCTTCTACCTGGTGCCCGGGTTGGGCTGCCTCGATGTGGATGAGTGCCTGGAGCCAGAGGGGACCCTCTGCCACTCCCTGGCCACCTGCGTCAACGTGGAGGGCAACTACTCCTGCGTGTGCCCCCAGGGCTATGTGGGGGATGGATGGCACTGCGAGTGTACCCCCGGATCCTGTGGGCCAGGACTGGACTGCCTGCCCCTGGGTCACGGTGGTGAGCTCGTGTGTGCTGACCCGTGCCAGGCGTACCACACGCTGCATGAGTACTGGCGCAGCGCTCAGTATGGCTCTGGCTACTCCTGTGATACCAACTTGCGAGGCTGGTACCGTTTCGAGGGCCAGGGTGGCGTCCGCATGGCAGAGACCTGTGTGCCAGTCCTGCGCTGTAACACGGCCGCGCCCTTGTGGCTCAACGGCACGCACCCCTCCAGCAACGAGGGCATCGTGAACCGCACGGCCTGCGCGCACTGGAGCGGCCACTGCTGCCTGTGGGACACACCTGTCCAGGTAAAGGCCTGTGCCAGAGGCTACTACGTCTACAACCTGACAGCGCCCCCTGAGTGCAATCTGGCGTACTGCACAGGTGAGCTGGGGGCCACCCCCTCCTTCCCACGCCCCCTGGTGGGCACCATGGGGGGGGGGTCAAGGCGGATCGACGGTGACTGAACTTCTGCCCCTGCAGATCCCACCTCGGTGGAGGGGACGTGTGAGGAGTGCGGAATTGACGAGGACTGCATATCAGATAATGGCATGTGGCGGTGCCAATGCAAACAGGACATCAATGTCACGGGTGAGGGGGGCAGAAGGGGATCGGTGGAGGGGAATTGATTTGTTTGTTGACAAAGTGGTCAGTGGCAGGGAAAGCATTCTCTCTCTCTCTCTCTCTCTCTCTCTCTCTCAGGTCAAAGTAAGTACAATGGAAAGATGATCATCATACTTCCAGGCTCTATGCCCTAAAAACATTAAAATCATAAATAACTACAAACTAGAAACTTAAAATCTGAGAGAGAGAGAGAGAGAGAGAGAGAGATGCAGACATGAGAGGACGAGAAAGACACTCAGGAATACAAAGCCCCCCACAGTTGGAAGGTTCACTAGCACCTCTTTTAGTCAAGAAGAACTCTGGGGGGGGGTGTTTCCTGGTTCTCCCCTTAGTTGACTCCAAAACTCCTGGTGATCAGGGGTCAACTTTATGCCCAGAACTTACTTTAACACCCCCCCGCCCTACACTGCAGTGGGTACACAGAATAATGCCAGCATCAGACTATGGAACACTACTCCCTCCTCCCCCCGACCTGCTGAATTACTGATCCGCTGTAGATGCAAGGCAGGGCACTGGCCGTCTCTGAGCCTGTGTTTGCCCCCGTCTACACTCCTTGGAGGTGGATAGTGTTTTCTAGACTTCAGTCACGATTTCAGTCATCTTCTGCCACTTGGACAACGTTGCTATATTCAAGCCCCTCCTCTAATTCCAACTGTACAATTAACTGGTTGCTCTCTGAATTGACTGAATTCCCTTCTGTGATTGGTACTTGTTGGTTGATTGATTTTGGCCATCCTAGGGTTTGAACTCAAGGCCTCTGGGTTGCTAGGAAAGTGCTCTGCCACCTGAGCCACACCTCCAGCCCCAAATCTCTTCTTTCAGGTTAATTTGAGATGTCGATGTTCACTGCTGGGTTTGTCTGCAGCAAGCTAACACATATCTTAGAAGGTCACAGTAAATACAGCAGAAAGATTATTATAATAATCCTAGTAGCTATGTCCTAAAAACATTAAAATAATAAGTACTAAAAAATAACTTTAAAAAATCCTTTTACAAAAATAAATCTGGTTGCTAACATCTGCCCCCAAATTTTCTGTTTAAGAGGAAAGAATAAGCATGTGTTGCCTTAACGACATTAAAGACAAATTAGGTCTGTCACCCCAAAATAGATGAAAAGAAATTGTAGTTAACTTTCCTTTTTTTGGTTGTTGTTGGATATGGGGCTTGAAATCAGGGCCTGGGTGCTGTCCCTTAGATATCTTTTGCTCAAGGCTAGCACTCGATCACTTTGAACCACAGCTTGATTCTAGTTTTCTGGTGGTAAATTGGAGATAAGTGCCTCATAGACTTTCTTGCCTGGGCTGGCTTTGAACCACAATTCTCAGATCTCAGCCTCCCTCAGTAGCTAGAATTACAGGTGTGAGCCACCAGCACCTGGCTTCCTTTCCCTTTATAAAATTGGGATTCCATACTATTTAATTCTGGGCTAGTGAAAGATCCAAACACTGCCATGAAATTGGGGTAGAGTTGGTTCTTAGGGGTCTGTGGGGGGGGGGCTCTGGAAGGTTGGCTAGTGGATCCATCCTGCAATGTGTACAGTCCATTCTTGTGCTCCCCTCTTCTGAGAGTTGAGAACCCCCAGCGAGTGGCCAGTCTGGAGAATTCTCCCTGTTTTCTGATTGTGGGGTGCATACTGAGCTCTTGAGGTTCAGACAGGCTCCACATTGTGCCCCTTTCTTGCTTATTTCAGATGTTTCACTTTTGGATCAAAGGCTGATCTGTGGGGCCAATGACATCAAGATGTCCCTGAGCAAGTGCCAGCTACAGAGCCTGGGCTTCAAGAAGGTCTTCATGTACCTGCGGGACAGCCACTGCTCAGGCTTCAGTGAGAGACGGGAGCAGGACTGGATGTCTGTGGTGACTCCGACCCGAGATGGTCCCTGTGGGACAGTGCTGACAGTATGTCCGGGCAGCTGGAGGGCAGGGGTCAGAGCGTTCACAGGTTCAGCCCCAGGTTCTACAGAAATTGTATGGGGTTGCATGAGTTATTTCACCTGTTTCCGAATTACTCATGTTTGGAGCAGTAGTTTGCCTGTAGAGGCCTCTGCAGAAGGGACCATATTTATTTTAGGGAACCCCAAGTATTTGTGTAAGGGAAGCATTGTGCCCTCTCTTTTGTCCTGGTACTGGGGCTTGAACTCAGGGCCTTGCACTTTTACTTGGTTTTTCTTTTTCTCTCAAGATTGTTGTCTATCACTTTTTTGTTGTTGTTGTTGATCATGGGGCTTGAACTCCAGGCTCGGGCACTGTCCCTGAACTCTTCAGCTCAAGGTGAGCGCTCTACCACTTGAGCCACAGCGCCACTTCCGGTTTTCTAGTGGTTTTATTGGAGAGAAGAGTCTCACAGACTTTCCTGCCTGGGCTGGCTTTGAACCGCGATCCTCTGATCTCAGCCTCCTGAGTAGCTAGGATTACAGGTGTGAGCTACCAGCACCCTCCCCGGCTTGGCTTTCTTTTGGTAGTAAATTGGAGGTTTTTCTGCCCAGCTGGTTTCCAATTGCCATCCTTAGACCTCAGCCTCCTGAGCAGCTAAGATGACAAGTGGTAAGTCTCCAGCATCCAGCCTTCCTGCACCTCTTATGCCAGGAAATAAAAAGAAAAGATTCAAAAGAAAGGAAGACATTGTTGGATTCTGATCTTTGGGACCCCCTTTCTACAGAGATTCTATTTCCCTACTTTCCTTTCTCTTTTAAATAAACTTACTCTGTCTACTTTTGCCAAAAAGAAGAAGCAATGATTACTTTCTAAGGCTAGAGCATGAAATCTCCTGAGTGGAGACTTAGCATGTGGACGAGAGTCTTTAAAAAAGGAAGAATGTGGTGATAGAAAAGACCCATGCTTCTTAGCTTCCAGGCAGCAGAGAGAATCAGTCAGTCATTCAGTTATGGGGGACCCGTGTCCCCTCCAGGAAGCAAGAATGTAACAGCCTTGCCTTTTAGGGTCATTGGAGGAAGGATGTCTGCAATGAGGTAGGCGGAGCATTTAGCTCAGCTACATGACACCTGCTCAGAGATGGCTCCTGCTGCTGACAATTTGTCCTCATGGAGGCCAGGAAGTCAGCGTGTGTGTGTGTGTGTGTGTGTGTGTGTGTGTGTGTGTGTGTGCGTGCACGTGCACATACAGGTGGCCAGAGACAAACGGCTCTGGTTTCATTGTCCTGCACAGATTCTTATTCTCCATTTTTTTCCTCTGCTCCCTCCAACACAGAGGAACGAAACCCATGCCACATACAGCAACACCCTCTACCTTGCCAATGAGATTATCATCCGTGATGTTAACATCAAAATCAACTTTGCCTGCTCCTACCCGCTGGACATGAAAGTCAGCCTGAAAACCTCCCTGCAGCCAATGGTCAGGTGCGGTCAGCGAGGATCTCCAGGGCTCCCAGGCAGCTCTGCCTTGCAGTTCCATAACCACGAGGTCTCCAGCTTCCCTGTCACCTGCCTCCCATAGGGAGCTAAGTGAGGCATCTGAGAGCTAGGATGGTTCAGTGGAGAAACTGAGTTAGGGGATCTTGGAACCCAGGATCCAGGCTCCATCCCATGCTAGTTAGAGTGGTTTGGGAGATGGCTAACTCTTCTCTGGCTGTCAGTCTTCTGCATGTGGCAGCTGTGTTCTGCAGCTGTGAATGAACATGTGAGAGTTTCAGAGGGGCAGGGTAGGAAAGAGGGACTGAAGGATGAGAGGCCTTAAATTAATTCATGCAATGAGGAATTTAGAAACTCCTCTTGTCAACGGGAAGAGGTCTGATTACAGAGTTTGCCGGGATGGGGTGGGTACTTGCGTGCAGGGATGCATTGGAGAAGTTCTCCCCATCCTTGGTACCACATGAGATTTGTATGACATTTTAAAATAAAGGACACTGTTGTTAAAGACCACAGAAAAAGTCTTTGAATAGGATGTCACAGGCCAGTGATGCTGGCATTGGACAAAATGGTAGACCATAATCCTGAATAGCAGTTTATTGAGTGTGTGGTGGGCATTTCACAAAGTGATTTGCATGGAATATCTCACTAAAAATCTTCACAGTTATGCCCCAGGAGATTTATGATCACCATTCCCTTTAGACAAAGGTGGAAACTGAGGCTCAGAGAAGTTTGAGGAACTTTGTCCTTGGTTTGTATTTTGTTTACAAACAGAATACAATAGACTCCAACAAGGGACTGTAATAGACATTACTAAAGGGCTATTGAAGTGGCAGTGCTGGGATTCCAACACCTCCCCCTGCTCCCAGGTTCTATCATGACTTCCACCAGACTTAGCCAATGGGGCTCTGAGCTGGTTGCTGATTGGACAGCATGGAGGAAGAGGTTGCTCATGGCAGGTGTTTGGTTGGAATATTACTTGGCCAAGCAGTGCTCTGGCGTCTGGTGGCCCTCCCTTAGGTCAAAAAGCAATTGTCTGTGAGCAGATCTCTCAGGTTGAGCTGGAAACCTCACTCCTATCAGAGCTGAGGATCCGGGTCTCACCTCTGAAGCCTCTGAAGTGGATGTCCCGGTCGCTGGGATTTCTGATGGGTTTTATTTCATGTGATCTCAGCCTTGTGAGGTCCTGTGAGGGGTCAGCCAAGGGCAGTCCTCACTGTGTAGCTGCTTTAATTATGCTTTTAAAACAATCCAGTTACAAAGTCTTTTCTAACGTGGACTGGATTAGTTTTCTAACATAGACTACTGTGCTGGTCTATGGGGTCCACAACTTGTCCCCTTTTAACCTTTTGAAGGAGGAAGGAATTAACCTTGAGAAGGAAGAAGGAATTGAGGTGACTCTATTAAGAATCTGTTCATTTCATGGCTGGGGATGTAGCTCAGTGTTTGTGTAGTTGATTCTCAACACACACACACACACACACACACACACACCCCTCACCCAGGCACACAAATCTCAAGCTCTGTCCAGGAGCATGAAGCAGAAAAAGGTCCCTCTTTTGGCATGTTCCCCATTTGGTCCTCTCACCAGCCCTTTTCCCCCCTGCAGTGTCTTGAACATCAGTGTGGGGGGGACCGGCATGTTCACCTTGCGGATGGCGCTTTTCCAGAACCCTTCCTACACGCAACCCTACCAAGGCCCCACAGTGGCCCTGTCCACGGAGGCCTTCCTCTACGTGGGTACCATATTGGATGGCGGAGACCTGTCCCGGTTTGCAGTACTGATGACCAACTGCTATGCCACCCCCAGCAGCAATGCCACAGACCCAGTGAAATACTTCATCATCCAGGACAGGTAAGGCAGCAATCTCTAAGTGGGGGACCATGGAGGGATTTGGGAGGTGGGGGAGAGGAGGATTGTCTTTCAGCTTGGATGGAGGAAATTTAGCACTCATCATGAGTATACAGCAAAAAGCTACAGAAGCACCTGGCAGTGACTCATGCCTGTCATCCTGGCTGCTCAGGAGATTGAGTTCTGAGGTGTATGGCTTAACACTAGCCTGCGCAAGGAAGTCCATGGGACTCTTATTAATTAAGACTTACCAAGTAATACTAAAAAACCAGAAGTGGAGCTGTGGCTCAAGTGGTAGAATGTTAGCCTTGAGCAGAAGAGCTGAGGGACAGTGCCCAGGCCCTGAGTTTAAGTCCCAGGATTGTGCATGCAAGCACATGCGTGTGTATACACACACACACACACACACACACACACACACACACATACACCACAAAGTGAAATAGCTGAGCAATGTCCACTTCACCTGCCCAGAGATCCTGGGTCTCCAGACACAGTCTAGCATGCATGTGGCTGTTCTAAGTTTCTCTTTGTGCTGTGCGTTGGTGCTGTTGGGTGCATGTACACAACCACACAACAGGGGTCCCCATTTCTGTTGTTACAACAAGGTAACACAGGTCTCTGATGATCCATAGGAGTTAGCGCACGGTGGCTAATTTTTTGACTCCTGCATGCATTTCCTGGGTATCCAGAATGTTCTTTCATCCACTCTGCCTTGATGATTTTTTTTTCTTTTTCTTTTTCTTGCTTTAGCATCAACTGTGGTTGCCACAGGCAGTGTTTCAATTTTTTTTTTTTTTAGTTTAAAATTTAAGCTGGGAGTAGTGGGGCATGTCTGTGACCATAGCTATTAGAGAAAAAAAATCTCTAATCTCAGACCAGCCTGGGAAAAATTAGCAAGTGCTTATAGCAAAAATCAAGTACAAACAGAAGAGTTGGGTGCATGGTTCAAGTCATAAAGCACTTGCCTGCCATGCTAGACCCTGAGTTCAGTTCCTAGGACTGCTACACACACACACAAACAATATCCTTCCAACTATCTTTTTTTTTCTGTGTATGTGTATGTGTGTGTGTGTGTGTGTGTGTGTGTGTGTGTCCTGGGGCTTTAACTCAGGGCCTGTCCCTTTTTATTTTTTTGCTCAACACTGGCACTCTACCACCTGAGACACGCCTCCACTTCTAGCTTTTTGATGGTTAATTGGAGAGTCTCCAGGACTTTCCTCCTGGGACTGGCTTCAAACCATGATCCTCAGATCTCAGCCTCCTGAGCAGCTAAGGTGACAGGCGTGAGCCACCAGCGCCCAGCTTCATAGCTTTCTTTTCTCATGGGCTCTAGTAATGAACCTTGGAGCAGCTACCCACCCCCAACACACACACACACACACACACACACACACACACACACCATCACACTGCCAACAAGTACTGGTGGTGTGGTTTTAATTCCAGATTCTGTCTTTAGAGTCTTTATGTAACTCACCACAACTTATTGCATACCCTGCTTTCCCACCAGATGTCCACAAACAGAGGACCAAACCATTCAAGTGCTGGAGAACGGGGAATCCCCTCAGAGCCGGTTTTCCGTGCAGATGTTCCGGTTTGCTGGGAACTATGACCTGGTGTACCTGCACTGTGAGGTGTACCTGTGTGACACGGTGAAGGAGAAGTGCAAACCGGTGAGTCTCCACCCCTCCCACAGCCCTTCCCATCACCAGATGACCCCAGCCAGGTATGACCAGAGCCAGGAAACAAGGGGAGGGGTCAGGTGGGACACCTGAGCTGTGGGGAAATCCACAGGGCCCAGTGACCTGAGAACACCTGGTTGGTAAGCTCTGTGGTTTATGAAGGAGTCTTTTAATAAGAGGTTGGTGTGTGTGTGTGTGTGTGTGTGTGTGTGTGTGTGTGTGTGCGCGCGCGTGCGTGCCAGTTCTGGGGCTGGAGTTCAGGACCTGGGCACTGTCCCTGAGTATTTTGTTTTTTGTTTTTGTTTTTCTTTTGCTCAAAGCTAGAGTTTTACCATTTGAGCCACAGCTCCCTGCTGGCTTTCTTGGTGTTAATTGGAGATAAGAGGAGTCTTAATGGCTTTCCTGATCACACTGAATTCAAACCTCCATCCTCAAAGCTCAGCCTCCTGAGTAGCTAGGATTCCAGGCGTGAGCCACTGGTGCCCTGAAGAAGCTGGCACTCTTAAAATTCTGTGCCCATGTTGTATTTTTCTTTTTTTTAACTTAATGTTCCACAGAAATTCTGTGTGTGTGTGTGTGGGGGGGGGGTGTTACCAGTCAGAGAGATCAAGTGAATTTGCTGCTGTCATAAGGAGTGGTAGGCCAAGACGTGATCTCCCGGCTCAGGGTGCAGCCCTCTCCACCCCCAGTGTCAAGGCTGTACCCTCCTTCATGGAAACTTCCCTCTGTTTTCCTCTCTCCGCAGACCTGTACTGGGACCAGATACCGAAGCGGGGGCTTCATAGACAAATCCCGTGTACTGAACTTGGGCCCCATCACGAGACAAAGTAAGAGAGCCACTTAGTCCTTGTGGTTTGTAGCTGGGAATTCCCTCTAGAGAGGATGGTGGGGTGGGGAGCGGGGCTTGCACCTCAGATCTCACTGGGGACCCAAGAATGAGAGGGACTGCTTCTCCAGCCAGGACAGCAAGGACTGAAACAAGCTCTCTTCTCTTTAGAGCACCGCCCCCTCCTTTCCCCCTCCTTTCTTCTCTCTTCCTCCCTCACTCTCTTCCTCCTTCTCTCTCTTCTTTCCTTCCTTTTCTTTCCCTTTCCCTTCCCTTCCTTTCCTTCTTCCCTCTCTCCTTCTTTGTTCTTTCCCCCTTCTCCCTCTCACTTCCCTTCCTTTCCTCTGTCCCTCCTTCCTCTTTCCCTTTTCCCTCCCTCCCTCCCTCCCTCCCTCCCTCCCTCCCTCCCTCCCTCCCTCCCTTCCTCCTTCCCATCATTGAGCAGGTGTCCTTTGGCCACCTGAGGAAGGTGTCTGAAATGGAGAAATCACATGATCCGATTAGGCTTTAGCTGGCTGTGAGAAGAACTGGCCAAAGAGGCTTGGGTCAGGTTGCTCACCAGACTCCTCTTTCTTCTCTTTCCCCTTACAGGTGTCCAGGCCTCCATCTCGAGGGCTGCTGCCAGCAGCGTCGGTAAGTTCAGGTCCTTTCTGCACAGCAGCCAGTTTCAAAAGGCTCCTGGAGAGCTGCCTGCCCGACTCTGGGGTTGTATGTGAATGCACACTCACACCACCTCGCAGAGGCATGCAGGGACACAGGCTCACCATGCACACACGAGGCCACATGTGCACATTCAGGTCTGCACTCTCAGGCACACGTGGTGGCAGTTGCATGCATGCAAGTTCAGATGAGCATACTAAGTGCATATCTGTGCCCCCAAGGTATACCACACACACACACACACACACACACACACACACACACACACACACACACACACCTTGGCTGTTCTCTTGGGTGCTTCCTGTAGCGCTGACGTCCCATTTTTCTTTACCTACCTGTTCAGGAGCTGCTCAGTTGCTGAATTGCTGACAAATATTTGCTGAAAATCATTAGGTTCCAGAAGGCATGCTGGGTGCTGGGGTGAGCACCAGAGTCCTGGGGTTTCTTCACAGCTCAGATCACAAAGGAGAGGAAATGGTGGCGCTTTTTTTTTTTTTTTGCCTTTGATTTTTCACAGCTATGGAGTTGTCTGAAGACTCTAGAAATGCACAGAATCTGTCTGGCCTTTGCCTGTCTTGGTTTTGGTGTCTGGATCCAAGGGGGTTGTGACACTAGTCTAGTGTTCAACCTGGACTTGTTCAATCCAGCCCCGGTGAACTTGGAACTGAGGAGTCAGGATGCTCCATATAGGGTTTGCTCTCTGCAAATATCCCATGTGGTCACCAAGGGTGGATGTATAGGCCCCACCTTGTTGAGGAGATATCAATCTGGGGGCCAGAAGAGAGACATTGTCAATAAGTCCACTCAGGAGGGTACTTTTTCCTATTTTTTAAAAATTCAGAATGGACAGATGGAGATTTTCTTGTTTTGAATTGAATTTTAGGTCAGAGAAAGAAAAAGAAAAGGCACTGGGGGCCAGTGGCTCATGTTTATAATCCTAGTTACTCAGGAGGCTGAGATCTGAGGATTGTGGTATGAAGCCAACCAGAGCAGAAAAGTCCAGGAGACTCTTATCTCCAATTACACCCCCCCCCAAATTAAGCTGTGGCTTAATTGGTAGAGTGCTAGCCTTGAGCAAAAAAAAAAAAAAAAAAAAAGAGCTCAGGGACAACTCCCAGAACCTGAGTTCAAACCCCAGTACTGGCAGAATGAAAGAAAAAAAGAAAGAAAGAAAGAAAGAGAGAAAGAAAGAAAGAGAGACAGAGGATGGAAGGAAGGAAGGAGGAAGGAAGGAAGGAAGGAAGGAAGGAAGGAAGGAAGGAAGGAAAGGAAGGAAGGAAGGAAAGGAAGGAAGGAAGGAAGGAAGGAAAAAAAAAAGAAAAACAACAAAGCTTCCTTTCTCTAACCAGTCACCCCAGAGGTGATATCCTTTCCTAATTCGTCCATCTGCAGGAAGCGCCTTGCTAATTTGCATAAAAGCACATTAGTGCTAGTGGTGGTCCTACCATTGCTTTCCTTTCAGGGTTCCTGAAGGTCCTGCCGCCTCTGCTTCTCTCGGCTGCCTTGACCCTGTCATTTCAGTGATGGGCAGCAGAAAACCCTGGGCTCTGGTTCCCAGCCCACTCCCTGCCGGCCAGGATGGCAGAGGCAGCCAGTGCTCAGCCACAGACAAGAGGCGGAGGCTCCTGCGTGCCGGCTCTGAGCCCTCCCTAGTCCTCACTGCGGAAAACCGGCCCTGCTTTTAACTGATGCTCTTTCTCCTAATGGGACTTGTGACATGTCTGTACTTGAGGTCCTTGTCTCCTGAAGAGTGCGGCAGAATAATAATGGTAGAAGACTGGCCTTTGGAGTCAATCATTCATTCAAGAAATATTTGCTGTGGGTGGAAGAACCAAACAAATAGATCCTATCCCTTTCCTTAGGAAGTTTGTATCTGCTCAGAGAATCAAAGGCAACCCACATTATGCTGTGTGACCTTAGATAAGATACTCAATGTTTCTGAGCCTCATCTATGTATCCATTCACACATCCACCCATCCATCCACTTATCCATCCATCTACGCATTCATCTATCCACCCACCCACCTAGCTATCCATCTACTCACCCATTCACTTAACCATTTCTCCATCTGTCCATTTATCCATCCATTTATCCATCCATTTATCCATCCATCCATCCATCCATCCAAAATATCTTTACTGAACTGCTACATTGCTAGGTGCTGGGATATAGTTGTTATCACAGAGAACAAGTCAGACACAGCCCTGGCCACTCCACTTCTTCTGATTGGAAAGAGAGAACTTGAGCAAGTAACTCCAAGGCCCAGATGTTTGGAAGTGCAGTGTTTCATAGGCAATGGCTGCTTTTATTAAAAAAAAAAAAAAGACACAAAACAAAACAAAACAAAAAAATCCCCACTCCTTGTAGGGCTCATTGAATTTTCCAGACACATTTCTGAGGATCGCGGATGTGTCAGGCTCTGTGCTGGGAACTGGGGAAGCAGAGATGGAAAAGTGGGGGCTTCTCATCATCAGCGGAGAGAAGCGGTGAGCTTGCAGTGTTGGGATTCTTCCATCCATTGCATATCTCCCTCCCAGTCTGGAAGCTGAGGGTCTGTTTCCAGGGAAACACCAACAGTGGAGATTGAGTCCAATCTCCCCACGGGTAGAGGCCTTGCTGGCAGCCCTCCAGGATGGACAAAAGCAGAAGCAATGGAGTTTCTGAGTCCAGGAGCCCCAGATAGCCCAAGGGTCCTTGGACGTCTTTGTCGAACAGGTGGAAAGAGAGGAATCTAGATGGGAACTCTCTGTCCTGGCCCAGCTGCTTCCCTGGACTCTGGGCTTCCAGGAGAGGCCAAGGCCTCGTTGGGACCCTGGGGAAAACCACATGTGTGTATCTGCAAATGAGAACAGGCTGGCAGCCCATCTCACAATCAGGGCTTCTTATCACACTCAGTGTGCACAATTGCTGCCTCTCCATAAAAGCTTTACATAAAAGGCCTCCAGGCTGGTTCCAAGCCAGATCCATGGTCAGTCTGTGGTCAGCTGGACTTAGCTGATGAGATATCCTCTCATCTGACTTTGACTTAGGCACAACTGAACTGAAAAGAAAAGAATCTAGGCCAAGAAAAAGAAAGCTGAAGGCCAAAAAACAACTGCTGTGGGTGAGGGTGGAGTGGGGGGAAGAAAACACATCAGAATTATTTTGTCTCTTTGTTCCTGATCCTTTCTTTTCCTCTCTTGTTTTCTATCTGTTAGTATTCAGCTCAGTTTATCTAACAGAGGTTTGAGGCATAAGTTCAATGCCAGTCTGTGTGTGTGCACACACATGCCCACACACTGGTACTGGGGCTTGAACTTAGGATTCTATGTTCTTCCTTAGATTTTTTTTTTTTGCTCAAGGCTGGTGCTGTAACCATTTGAACCATACCTCCACTTCCTGCTTTTTAATGGTGAATGTAAATAAGAGTCTCACAGATTTTCCTTTCCCGAGGCTGGCTCCAAACCTTGATCCTCAGAGCTCAGCCTCCCAAGTAGCTAGGATTACAGGTGTGAGCTTCACCAGGCATTTTTATAGGTAGCAAGGAAACAGCACGTAATTAAAATAGAGTCCTTTCTGGTAAGGAACTTACATGTAAAAGAGGAAAGACATTTATACAATACCCGTGTGCAATGTGAAAGATGGTGGAAAATATTGGGTTTTTTGTTTGTTTCTTTTTGGGTCCGGTCATGGGGCCTGAACTCTGGGCCTGGGTGCTGTCCCCCTGCTCTTCAGCTCAAGGCTAGCGCTCTACCACTTGAGCCACAGCACCACTTCTGGCTTTTTTCTTTTTGCTTATGTGGTGCTGAGGAATCGAACCCAGGGCCTCATGCATGCAAGGCAAGCACTCTACTACTGAGCCACCTTCCCAGCCCCAAAAATACTGTTTTTTAAAAAACAACCAAGAAAGAAGCATAGTGCAGAAATGGTGCTGTTTGATATAAGGTGATCGTGTGGGGGTGGAAGCAAATCTCTATAATAGGAGAAGGGACAAAGTCAGCCACAAATCCTATGTATAAGGAGAGAGGAGGTTAAGACTGACTGTTGGGGAGACTGGGTGGGACCTGGACAAATGGAATGGAGTAATGGACTACGTCATAGATCTAGTGGTCCTAAGCTCACATTTGGGGGGGGATTCTTCAACAGCCCAAGGCATAGAGAAGTGTCTTGTTGTACCTTTTCCTCTTCTGGATTGAGATTTGGCTAGAAGGTATTGCCAAAGTCAAGAGCCCTCAATAACCTTGGCTCTGTAAGAATCCTGGAGAAAGCCCAGCCTTGGTGGTTCACTCCTGTAATCCCAGCTACTCAGGGGGCTGAGGATCTAGAATTGGAGTTTGAAAGCAGCTTAGGCAGGCACATCTGTGAGACTCTGATCTTCAGTTAACCACCAAAAAGCTAAGTGGTTCAAGTGGTAGAGTATCAGTCTTGAGCAAAAAAAAAGAAAAGCTAAAAACAGAGCCCAGATCTTGAGTTCAAACCTGAATATAACACACACACACACACACACACACACACACACATTCACACACACACATACACACACACACGCATCCCAGAGAAACAGAGAAGAGACAGAGGCTGTTGGTTATATACCAAAGCTCTAACTCCTTTATTAACTCCACAAGTTCAACCCTAGGGTCAGGCCTGCAGATTCACATTCTCAGATCAGTTCTATGTCTTGCACTGTGTGCAGGGATTGGAGGAAAGCTTGGGAAGTTCAGGGGCTTCCCATTTTCCTTTGGACAAATCACCATGGACCAAATGGACCCTTGGCAGAGGTCTCCATACTAAATATCTGGGTAGACTCTGTGAGCCAAGTCTAAGAAACACTCATCCATCCATTCTTCCTCCTTTATTCCCTTGCCCTCATGGGCCTCCAAGCTAATAAAGGCCAGAATGGCTGTTGGGTCATTAACTTGGCACACATGATCCTTCTGAAAGCTCATTGTGCAAACAAGTACTTGTTTATTTTTTTCACCACTTTCCTTTACATATTGCAACTTCCTTTTCATTAGTATTTGGGTTGCGGGTGGCAGGTGGCAGAGGTGGAGGGATAAATATTTGCCCCAATCAAATATACATGGACTTACCACAAGGGTTTATTATAAGGATTAGATCTGTGAAAAGGAATGGCTGAAAATTGACACTGTCCCATGAATTCAACGGTCTGTGTATATTGCGATTGTTTATGGAGAAGCATTTGCATGAAGGAGAATCTTCTGGAAGCATTTACATGGGGTAGGATGGATTTGGGCAGGGGAGGGGTGGGGGTAGGGCCCTTCTTTCGCCACCTTTTGTGGTAAATTGCTTATCTTTCCTGGGAATCTAACCTGAGTCCGACCATAGCACCAATCACGAGTGGCCACATGGGTGGAAAATTCCCATAAAAAGCCCACAGCAGGCTGTATTCTCACAGCTCACAGGACAGAGAGGAAAGTTCTGGGTTCTTACCCCAAGGTAAGTCCTATTCTGAGCTACTGTGAGCTTCTTCTTCCTCCTTGGGAGATGACTCTCCTTACCTCCCTGGATCCGGGAGGACTGTGTGTTTCTGGAAAACAGAACAGAACCCAGGGAGGAGTGTGGGGCTTGGCCACAGTCGAGCACTTCTGGAATCATTGTCTGACTGGACTCAGCCTGGTTTCACACACCTGCTCTCCTCTGGGGTGGGGCGACATCTCTAGGAAGTATGATCCCTGTGCTCCCCCATCCCAGCTCTCTCCTGCCATGTCTTCCATGTCCCTTCCAGAAACAGATCGTCTGAAGTCCTGACACCCTTCTAGAACATTCTACAGCTTTGCTTGCTGTCAACGTCTTCCCCTTGGTAAGTCCCCTATTCCTGTAGTTGATCCACCTCATTGAAGGAAGTCATATCTGCTCTGAAGCAATGGAGCCCTTCAGGAAGGAAGTCCTTGGCTCCATTTTTGAGAACAGGGGTATGTGGGCTTAAGCAAACAACTTTGTGTTTTGGTGGTCTTAGGACTTGAACTCAGGGCCTGGGCTCTGTCCCTGAGCTTCTTTGTGTTCAAGGCTAGCATTCTACCAATTGAGCCACAGTGCCACTTGGGGGCTTTTTTTTGAGTAGTTCATTGAAGATAAGAATCTCACAAACTTTCCTGCCCAGCTGGCTTTGAGCCATGATCCTCAGATGTCAGCCTCCTGAGTAGCTAGGATTACAGGTGTGAGCTATCAGCGCCCGGCCTGAGCAAACTATTTAACCTACAACAGCTTGCTTACACATAAAAGCCAAGTAGCCTGATAAATCTTGCCTGGATTCATGAACTCTTGAACCTTTGCCTCATTAGAGTGAGGAGGTTAGAAGATGTTTTCTGTAGGATGGCACTGAGCCTTGCTTGTTGCAAGGTAGGTTAGAAGCTTGGGTGCAAATGTGCCACAGGGCCAGTGCTGAAGGCTGTGGGTTCTCATCCGACCCTTGCTCTGGAAGGTGAGCATGTGCCTCCTGCCTCTGTAGAGCATTTGTTTCCCTCTCGTGCAGCTGCATGGGGAGTGCGCACGCGCTGAAGTGACCTACAGCTCTCACCTTTTGGAAAGAACGATGATAGGCTCAGACCTCCTGTGGCTGGCCTTGGCCTCCTGCGTTCTGACCCTGGCATCTGAGGCGCTCCAAGGCGAGTACTAGTCTCACCTGGCATCTCGGGTGCCCACAAAGATGTGGGCAGGGGTGGTGGTGGAGAAGAACAGACAAGGTGTCTCAGGGCAGCAGGAGGAAGAGGCGGGTCCAAGGCAAAGATTCAGAGATAGAGATCAAGGAGAACTTGGAAAGCAGAAAGGGAACCTGGCGTCA